ATTCTTAAAATGTACTAAAAAAAGAATGGCAGCAAATATACATAGTAGCTGCTAAATGTATATGGTAGCTGCTAAAAGTATTTTGCTATTTTTTCCATACTGGTATGTTTTTTTAAAAACAGAAAGCAATAGCGCTTCCTGTCATTTCTGTTGTTTTTCATTATTATTATTAATTTACATGGAGAGTTCTGGGCAGTACAACAAACTTACTCTTTTTGCAAAAAGTTAAACAATAAATCATCAGGAGATCTCTATTCATATCTGGGCTGACTCCTAGATTAATATGGACAAATCACAAATTTTGGAAATTACTTTTAAGTGTCAATGAAGTAAAAGTAGGGTCCAAAGACAAATAAAATACCCTTCTGGATTTTTCCTTCTTGTCTTCACATTTGACTTGCAGACTGTTTCCACTTTTGCATCACTGATACTTGTTCACAATTTTAAAGACACTTATTAGAGTCTTCTGTGAATAGAAAAGCCTTAAAATAAGGAGATTTTCTAATCTACTAAACACTTTAGTGGAAGCCCAGATCATATTAACTTGAAACTTCCTGCCAATCTTATTATTCTACAATCATTCCAAAAGGTCTTAGTTGGAATGAATATACAGTCATCCCTTGAAATCCATGGACTATTGGTTTCAGGACCCCCTGCAGATACCAAAATCCACAGATGCTCACAAGCCTTGTTTAAAATAATGTAGTATTTGCATATAACATATGTACCTCCTCCAGTATACTTTAAATCATTTCTAGATAACTTGTAATACCTAATACAATGTAAATGCTATAGAAGTTGTTGTTATAATATATTGTTTAGGAAATAATGACAAGAAAAAAAGTCTGTACATATTCAGTACAGACACAACCATCTTTTATTCTTTTTTTGAATATTTTTTCTTTTTTGTCTGAGACAAGGTCTACTCTGTCACGCAGGCTTGAGTGCAGCAGCATGATCAGTCTTGACCTCCTGGGCTGAAGCCATCCTTCCACCTCAGCCTCCCAAGTAGCTGGGACTACAGAGTAACCAGAACTACAGGTGTGTGCCACCATACCTAGCTAATTTTTTTGTACAGACACGGTCTCACTATGTTGCCCAGGCTGGTCTCAAACAGGCTGGAAGTGTGCTGCGTCATTAGAAAGCACAAAGATGGTACTATGGACTGAATTGTGTCCCCATTGTCAAATTAATACATTGAAGCCCTAACCTTCAATGTGACTATATTTGGAGACAGGGCCTTGAAGGAAATAGTTAATGTTAAGTAAGGTTATACGAATGGGGCACTAATCCAATAGGACTGGTGTGCTTATAAGAGAAAGAGACATGAGAGCAATCGATCTCTCTCTTCCCCTCTCTCTCCACATCCACTCCATATGAACACATAGGACAGGCCATGTGAGGCTACACTGAGCAGGTGGTAGTCTACAAGCCAGGAAGGGACATCTCAGTAGGAGCCAACCCTGCTGACACTTTGCTCTTGGATTTCTAGCATCAAGAACTGTGAGATCATAAATTTCTGTTGTTAAAGCCACCTGGTAATAATTTGTGATGACTACCCAAGCAGACTAATACAGACAGGAAAGACCTGGGTACTTTGTGTGAACTGACAAAAAATCAGTGGGCTGGAATACAAACAGCAGTAGAGATAATAATACACCGAGGACTCTTAAGCCCATAGATGGGAGATGAATCTTTATTTTTTTTTTTTGAGACAGAGTCTCACTTTTGTCACCCAGCCTGAGTGCAGTGATGGAATCTCAGCTCACTGCAACCTCCACCTCCCAAGCTCAAGCGATTCTCCTGCCTGGCCCTCCTGAGTAGCTGGGATTACAGGCACATGCCACACGTCTGGCTGATTTTTGTGTTTTCACTAGAGATGGGGTTTCACCACGTCGGCCAGGTTGGTCTCAAGCTCCTGACTTCAGGTTATCTGCCCACCTCACCCTCCAAAAGTGCTGGGATTATAGGCGTGAGCCACCAAGCCCAGCCAGGAGATGAATCTTAGATGAGATGATCAGAAAAATATATGGTGCAGGTTTTTGTTCCCTCAGCGATCGGGAGACACTAACATACAGCAACTAGAGGTCACTATATTACACCCTGGAGTGCACAGAACAGTCCAACACAAAAAAGAACTGAACCCTTCCAAAATGCTAACACTGACTTATTTGGAAACAATTGCTAATGGGTAAGTTTCATGTACCCAGGGGACTATAGAAAACTAAGGTTTGCCCCCCTCCCCCTGCTTTTTTATTATTATTATTTCTTACACTACCAAGGACAGTTCTGGGCTAATTCTGGTTAATTAATAGACATGTGTTATACTGTGTGTAACAGTATTGGATAATTTGGAACATACACAAATGAATCAGATGCCAATCCTAGGCCTAAAAGCCCCAGAAAAGGAGATATGATACCATACTTCATCAAACTGAGGCACCATTGGTTACATGACACACCATTTTAAGAACCACTAAGTTGGGAATAATGCCAAGTAAATTGTGCTATCAATTGTAAGATACATCTTAACTTCAGAGTTTTTAAAATGTGAAAAAATGCACATCTTAAAAAATGAAAGAGAATATGAAATAGTTAAAATGCAAATAGTTGGAGTAGTCATATAAAAAGTTCATATAAAGGATAAAATATATGCAGGTCTGATCATCTGGAACGGCTTCATGTTGAAGATCATATTAAGCTGAGTCTTGAAGAATGGATAAAAAGTAGGAAGTGGAAGAGACTGAGGGAAAGAATATTTTATTTTCAGAGAGTACTGCAAAAAGAACAGCAATAATAAAATAAGGAAGTAAGGGCTGGCTAAAAAGAAATACTTAAAGTTAGAAAGACAAGTTAAAATAGAAAAAAAGAAAAAGACAGACACACAAGGGTTAGGAAAACCTTGAATGCAACTAGGTTAAACAGCCTGAAATTGATTGCATAGCTTGAGGAATCATTCGCAAAAACTTTTTTAGCTCCTACACATTTTAGGGTTATAACATACATCGAAAATATGGTTCATTCTAGTACTGATTCTAAACTGTGGGAGATGGGAAAGGAGCAGAAAAGATTAATTCTGATGGGAGTACACAGCAGTGTACTCCAGAAAATCCTAACTTCTATCTCCACCTTGAGAATTACTGCTCTACGCATTAGGAAACCTCTAGAAAAATTTTAGCAGCCACCTGATTCAGGTACATTTCAGAAAAGGGAACACAGAAGAATTGTGTAAAAATGGATGAGAAATGGAATAAAGACTGAGAATCTGCAAAAGAAGCAGATCTTCTAAACCAGAAGTTAATGAATTTGTATTAGATTAGTTACAGCGGAAAAATGTACGGTGGAGCTATTATAAGAAACAGAAACAATAAAGGGAATCAAAAGTTTAAGATACAGATAATAAGCTCAAACAAAGAAAAATGCTTTCTAAAATATGTGGGTCATTCAGATGACGTCTAACAGGCATCCAAGACTGGAAGGAATGAAGTAGCTTAGGTCTGAAGAAACAGGCATGAAGATCATTTAAAAAGAAGTGTAAATGTAAATCCATAGTTTGGATGAAGCTCCAAAAAGTGGGCAAGAAAAGTATGGCAAAATTAAGTATTTTTTGTAGTGAATATCTGTTAAAGCACTTAATTGCTTTATTACAAGTAACTGTCTTCATATCTTACAATAAACTTATGCTGATCCTCATCATCACTAATTTTAACACGATAAATCTGCAAACAAAAAAAGCAAAGCATAATGAAGATTATGAATATGTTCAGGATCACATAAAGCAATATAAAACAGCATTTCATTAATTTCCAATCTGCTGTTAAAAACATTTCAACAGGGCTCTTCTGTGTTTGTGTATGGATAAATTTGGTGAAAAACAATAATCTACACCGTTGAAAGTAGCACCTAAGAGCAACCTATATATAGAGAGAGACAGGGTCTTGCTCTGTTCCCCATGCTGGAGTGCAATGGTGCAATCATAGCTCACTATAACCTCAAACTCCTAAGCTCAAGTAATCCTCCCATCTCGGCCTCCCTAGTAGCTAGTGCTACAGGTGCGTGCAGCACCACACCTGGCTAATTTTTATTACTTTCTGTAGAGACAGAGTCTTGCTTTGTTGCCCAGCCTGGTCTCAAACTCCTGGCCTCAAATGATCCTCGTGCTCTAACTTCCCAAAGGACTGGGATTACACATGTGTAAGCCAGCATGCTCAGCCAAAATCCATGATTTTTAAATCAAGTATTTTTTTCAAGTTTTTTTTTTTTTTTAAGTATAAGGGCAATGTCATCTTTTACATGAAAAACTGTGGTTTCAAGTCACATATGGGATAAGAAAGAAGAAAACCTCTAATTCTCTGGTATTAACCCTTAAATGTGCTATAAACATACCAAACAGCTTTAGTTAAATTCTTTTTGACTAAAATACCTTCTGATAAACTTCCTCTTAGAGTGATACAGTCAGGGCTTGAGGGAAGGAAAGAAAGGAAAGATGGAAGGAAAATGAAACCAACAAATGAAAAAAGAGGGAGAAGGAAAGGAAAATCCACCCAGCTGAACTGGCTAACAGGGTAAAGATGGTAAAGATCATTATGTGACCCTAGAACAAATTTACTGAGCAAAGAAAATGATATGGCTTTCTGCTGGAAGCAGGACATGAGAAAGGCACAGGCTCTCTAACTGTACAATAGTGCAGGTATTTTTCCCAACATACTTGGAAATCAAAGGAATCTCATAGGGAAAACAAGCCACTGAGTAGCCACACAAACAGCACACTACCTGCAATCTGTCTAAATGATTAGATGAACTGAAACAGCAGACAGCAGCATCTTAACAGCTTGTCAAAACATGTTCTTTTGCTGCTTTATGACTGCTTTTGCTTAAGCAAATTCTCTTTCAAAGGAAAAAACAAAAGGTCAGGTAACTTTCTAAAACTTTATGTCCTACAATAACATTATCGTTAAATCTACACATAGCAAGAAAAATTTTGAAAAAATGTGAAATACCTCAGTCTGACCTTCATGGGCACTGGTCTCATGAGTAACTCGGATGGCCTGTAAGAAAAATAAAGGTATTCATTGGAAAAAATGACCATACTCAACTTTTTAAATGAAAACAACAACAAAGCTAAAATTTAACATCTAAAGTCTTCTACAGAAACAACAAATTGAAGGAAATTTAAGAACAGCTTATGATATCTGGGTAATCAAATGAATTGCTATACTGTGTATATATTTGCTATACTATATACCCGCAAATCTCTAAAGATTTAGGAAACTGAATATCTGATTATTTGTAATTTCCAGGCTGTAAGTAGGGGCCATTTAACTTATTCAGTTGTTAGAACTAACACTTAACACTTTATTCAATTAAGACTAGAATAAAGTAAGCATTTCACAGATAGAGACTAAAGAAGCTTATCTCATCTGTTTCTCCCGGTTCCATGCTCCTCTGCAGCTCTGCCTTCATTTATGCTTAATCATGCAGTTTCAGTCAGCAATTTAGAAATGTGGAGCACAACTCATGCATTTATCAGAAGCTACAGAATTTAGTTTCCTGAACTAAAAAATAAACCACTCTGACAGTACCCACTATTTGCAAAGATGCAGAGAAATGGGCACAATAGTAAATTACAGGTGAAAGTACAACCTTTATGAATAGCAACTGGCAATAAACACACATCCAAGCCTTAAAAACATGCAAACTATTTTATACAGCAATTTCTCTTCTAGTAATTTATATATTTACATATAATTGTACATAATTTTATATAATTAAGGACATTTACAAAGATGTACTTTGCAATATTTATTAAAATAGTGAAAAACTATTAAATTTCTAACACCTAGTTTATTGGTGAAATACAATATTATATAATGGAAAGCTATGCAGCCATTAAATAATATCGAATATATACTTACTGGTATGTAATACGTTTGTGATAAGTGAAAAAAGCAAGTTATAAAACAGTATTACAGTGTGATCAAATTTTTGTTTCAAAAACTGTGTATATACATATACACTCCCTATAAAAATATTAATGTTTATCTACCTCTCGTTAGTAAGATTACTGATTTTCATGTTGTTTATTTTTATGTATAATAAAAATGTCTTATGAAGTCTCCAGTTTTTTTTTTAAAGGAAAAAAACAATTTAAAAACAGGAATGCTTAATAACATAATCAAACCAATTAATTTATCAGGCACAAACTTTACTTAAGGTATTGTTCTAGCCAAATAATTTGTAGACTATACACTTAATTTCAAAGAACTTATAATCTATTTAATAATGTTATTAAAAGGTAAAAAGATTTCAAAAGAAAAATTGATTCTAAAAGTAATAAATTTTAAAAACAATTTCAGAACAGTTATATGAAGTGGTACAATCATTACCAACTGCATTAAATATAACCTATATTACATATAAAACCTAGTTTATGTGGCCTGGTTATTACGCTGATAAAATAGCTACAGTATAGTCCAATGTCTACCTTTAAACCTTTGCATTTTCCTTTCATTTTCAGCCTTGTTCCAAATTCCCAACGAAAGATACATAGGGTACTGCCAGACATATATTTATTTTATGGAGGGAATGGTAAGGAATAGTCAGTCATAAAGTATTTTATTAATATGTGAATCAGGGCCAGCCATGGCAGTTCATGTCTGTAATTCCGGCACTCTGGGAGGCTGAGGTGGAGGGATTGCTTGAGGCCAGGAGTTTGAGACCAGCCTGGCCAACATGGCAAAACCTCGTCTCTACTAAAAATACAAAAATTAGCCAGGCATAGTGGCACGCACCTGAAATCCTAGCTACTCGGGAGGCTGAAGCACAATTGCTTGAACTTGGAGGCAGTGGTTGCAGTGAGCAGAGAGAGCACCACTGCACTCCAGGCTGGGCAGCAGAGCGAGACTCCATGTCAAAAAAAAAATTTATCAATCAAACTGCTTTTATCCATTCAGTCAGCTCTGAACATAGAAAAGAAGTGGCAATTTATCAGCATTTATGGATGCTTCAGATGAAGTTATCTAAAAAGTACAAAAGGCTTTTATTAACGGATACAATAAAATCCGTAGCTGCTCAAAACTATGGTTTCAAGACAAAACCCCAAATACATCTACAATCCCACAAAACTTTGCCCACATATGAGATCAAAACAGAAAGAAGGTACCGACGTCATAGTTCTCCAGGTATCTGGCTCGTTCCTCAGGGCTCATTGACACAGATTCCTCTAGGAACTTTTTCAAGGTTGATCCAGATTCTGAAAATAGGAAAGAAGATAAAATTAAAAAGGCTTGATACAGCAGAAAGACCAATAAATGAAAATACTAGAAGTATGCTACTATTTTTCACGTAAAATCCTTTCACTGGTAAGTTAGAAATATAAGAATCTTGTTATAAATGATAAGCCTCACATTATTAATATTTGTCCATTTGTTTAACCTCTATTAGTCAACAATATAAAAGAATAAGAAGGATTAATATTTCTTCTAACAGTATATACATTACCATCATAAAATAAGGGGGAAATGCTTTATTTTACAGTTTGAAAGAAAGAATTAGAGCACCACCTACTGCTCAATGAAATCAATTTATATCTTAAGGGGGGAAAAAATGCAGTATGAAAAATCATTTACCAAAGTGCATCTTGTCTTTATTGTTTGCAATAGCATGAATTAGTCCAATTGTTCCACAGGCATTGCTGATTGTTTGCTTCATGAAATATACTGATGGTGTAACATCTTGTCCCTGAGATTTTATTTTTTCTTCCTCTTCTGTTCTGAATACTTCATACTATTAAAAAAAAGTCAATAGTGTACATGTGGAAAATAACATGTTAAAAACCTCAGTCTGTAAAAGAAAAACTGCAAATGATAAAAATTATTTTTATAAAAGAAAGAGTTTAAAATATAATTTATCACCTACCAAAGTAACAAAAGACTGAAAACTGAATAGCAGTAGCCAGTGATGGTGAAGGTATGAACAAAAAGGCATTCTCCTCTGCCATTATTAAAAGCGTATATTTGTACAATCCCATTAGAGGGCATATGATAATATGTATTAACATTTTAAATGATCATACACTCCAATAAGCAATTTCCTTTATAGGAGATTAGTCTAAAACATAATCTCTAAAATGATATATATACTTCTAAGAGCAGAAAACTGGAAAAATTATAAATAACCATCAATGGAGATTTGGTTAACATGTATTATAGCATATTGTAATAGAATACTATAAAGCACTGTAGATTTACATATTCTGATTTAGAACTTTGTCCCTGACTAAACGTGGTTATGTCAGTATGTATTAACAACAATTCCAATTTATGTTTTTAAAATACGTATATACACATTAGAAAGTCTGAAAGGATATGCAGAAACTTAATAGAGGTTATCTTTCGGACAAGAGATTACTAGAGAACTTTTACTTGCTAATTTTTACATTTGTACATTTCTATATGGTTTATCATTGGCAAAAATATTTTTCCTTTTGGAAAATCATACCATATTAATAAAATTCACATTATATAATCCATAACAGACATTAACCATTATCTATAATAACTGGTTATAAAAGCAATGGGGTATAATAATAAGCATCACAAATGTGGGCTCTACAGCTGACTGCCTGGGCCCACAAACTGGCTCGAATGTTATTAGCTGTGTGACTTTAGCAAATTACTTAATGTCTCTGTATTTTAGTTTCCTAATAGTAAGAAAGAGTTAAAAATGGCAAAAAAGTTCAAAAAATGGGTGAGGCAGGGAGGAGAAAGATGATAATATTGTTTGGCTTAGAGTTTTCCCATAACGTTCTGTTTCCAATAGAGTAGAGTCAGCAAATGACAACCTGCAGGCCAAATCTGGCCCACTGCCTCTTTTCATAAGTAAAATTTCATTAATGTATTGTCTACGGCTGTTTACAAGGCAAAGTCAAATAACTGCAACAGAGATTTGAAAGCCTGCAAAGCTGAAAATATTTACTATCTGTCCCTTTACAGAAACATTTTCCTGATCCCCTGCAATAAAAGAAACAAATGATGTCTACAGAAAACCTACAATTAGTTAAGAAACTGCTTCTTTAAGCAGTTTAAACTCTCTTGCCTAAAGAGAAAAAAATAATAAACTGCTTCTAACAACAAATGTATCTATGCTCAAAATATGAATTTTATTGTGCTTATAAATTAAATTTTAAGTAACATTTTTCAGAATAAATGGACACTATTCATGTAAGTTCGACTGATAAAAACTGGAAAGGTTCAGTATATTAAGGTCTTAGGCTGAAAGTTTACAGTTCTATAGTTCAGTCTGTTGTTAATGTTCCTGTCAACAAAGCAAAATAAGATTTGATGATTTCAAGATTTAATGTGTAGGAAAAATTCCTAAAATGATTCAAAGCAAGTAAAGAAAAAAAGAAATTATGGTAGACCAAAGTAAGGCCAAGAGACGTAAATATCAGAGAGAAATAAATCTGTAGCCCCTTTGCCTATATTTACTGGCTGAACCGCACTATCACAAGGAACACATTCAAAATACTATCATTGGCTGAGTTAGGTAGCTCACACCCATAATCTCAGCACTTTGGGAGGCTGAGGCAGGTGGATCATCTGAGGTCAGGCATTTAAGACCTGCCAGGCTAACATGGTAAAACTCTGTTTCTACTAAAAATACATAAATTAGCTGGGAATGGTGGCACATGCCTGTAATCCCAGCTACTCCAGGGGCTGAGCCATGAGAATCACTTGAACCATGGAGGCAAAAGTTGCAGTGAGCTGAAATTGCACCACTGCACTCCAGTCTGGGCAACAGAGCAAGACTGTGTCTCAAACAACAACAACAAAGAACATTACCATTGATGGCAATTATCAAAAAGAGATAATAAATGCTGGCAAGGGTGTGGAGAAAAGGGAACCCAAGTGCACTGTTGGTGGAAATGCAAATTGGTACAGTCATTATGAAAAACAGTATGGAGATTTCTAAAGAAATTAACAATAGACTACCATATGACCAAACAATTCATAGCCAAAGAAGACGAATCACTTTGTAAAGGAGATGAATCTCTACCTTGTGAAAATATTTGCACTTCCATGTTCACTGCAGCATTACTCACAATAGCCAAGATATGGAAAAAACCAAATGTCCACAGATGGCTAAATGGATAAAAACATGGTATAGTCTACAGCCATAATACCCTGAATGTGCCCGATCCCATCTGATCTCAGAAGTTAAGCAGGGTCGGATCTGGTTAGAACTTGGTTAGGAGAAAAAGTGGCATAGATATAGACACACACACACACACACACACACACACACACACACACACACTCTCTCTCTCTCTCTCTCTCTCTCTCTCTCTCTCTCTCAATATTATTCAGCCTTAAAAAAAGGAGATCCTAACATCTACTACATGGATAAACCTGAAGGACATTATGATAAGTGAAACAACTCAGACACAGAAAGAAAAATATTGCATAGTATCACTGATACATGGAATTTTTTTTTAAAGCTCAAATACACAGAGACAGAGAATGAAACAGTGGTTAGCAGAGAGGTGATGAGATGTAGGTCAAAGGACACATAATAGCAGATATGTAAGATAAGCAAGTAACAAGTCTAGAAATTATGTACAACATGAAGACTAAAGTTAATAAAACTATATTGCTTTAGAGATTTTTGTTAAATAAGTAGATTTTAACTGCTCTTATCACAAAAAGAGGAACTATGTGATGATAGATGTCAGTCTGCTTCAGTATTGTAACGATTTTACTACGTATATGAATCCTATATCATGTTGTACACTTCAAGTACACACAATAACATTTATTTTTAAAAACCCACCATGATGGACTTTAAAGGGTAATGAGTCACACCCATAATCCAGACACTTTTGAAAGCCAAGGCAGGGGATCATTCAAGGTCAGAAGTTGGAGACCAGCCTGACCAACATAGTGAAACCCCGCCTGACCAACATGGTGAAACCCCGTCTCTACTAAAAATAAAAAAAAAAATTAGCCAGGTATGGTGGCACATGCCTGTAATCCTAACTACTCCAGAGGCTGAGGCAGGAGAATCACTTGAACCTGGGAGCTGGGGACTGCAGTGAGCCAAGATGGCGCCATCGGCTCACTGCAGTCTAGCCTGGGCAACAAAGTAAGACTCTGTCTCAAAAAATAAGTACATACATACATACATACAGGATAATAAGGTGCCTATGACAGCTCCTTTGCTATTAGTATGCTTAAGTCATTCACAACTACATATTCAATTTTTAAATTAGAAATTCAAAGACAAACACTTTGTAGATCCTAAAGAATGCACTAGCTATCCTCTTAATAATTTTGCCATATACCACCTATAAGCTGAAATAGGGATCTACCAAACTGTAACAGGTATCTAAAAGTGGTACATGCTATTGGTATTCTCTACTTACATGCTATTATAAATAGTTACATTAAGTATTTATACTTACTTATATATTTACTTACATAAATTTTCTACTTACGTTAAGTACAAACTTACAAAAATACTTTAGAACTGTGTTCGTCCTTTCAACAGGGACAAGTTTTTTAGCTCTGATAATCTACTAAATTAAACCCTATTCATAAGGATAATATGCTTTTTTAATACTGATGACTCACTAGATGGAAGCGATCAAATCTAATTTCTTTTTCACAAAAAAAAGTCATAAAAATCAATGGTTTGGAAATTTCCGATTCAAACAAAAAACTCCCATCAGCTAAGAAATCCTAAGGTTTAGGCAACTAATTTTTTTTTTAGATTCTTCACTGTTCATCACAACGGGGGTCCTGGGATAGTTATCTGTTGGCTTATTTTTGTAATCAATAAAAGGCAAAAATAACATTGGATTAAAAGAGAGTAAATTCAAGTTTTTGTCTTAACTCCTACAAATATCAATAATCATAACCTTACCATTGTGAGGGGGTTTGGTCTAATACTAGACAATCACTAAGAAATTCCTAACTCCAAATTTAGCAAAGACAGAGAAATATATTTCTTTTATTAAATAATTTGTTTTGTAGAACACTTAAGTAGAAGAGAGAAAAACTTCAATGTTATTTAATTTATCTTGAATTGAGGCTAATTTGTTATGGCATAAAGAAAATGATCCAGGAATTTCCAGGAGTAAGCAAGGTCTAAGTCTTAAGTCCTGTGGGATTTGGTTCCAGTTAGTCCTGAAGAAGATGACCTGAACACAAATCTGCCAAATCATCAACATATTTCTCTCACATCTTCCCAAACACTTACTTCTTCATTTTTCATAACTACTAAAATCATCCTACTGTTTCTAATTTTAAAAATAAAAATAAGAATGATATAGCCTCAAAATCTGTTATAAAATGCACTTAAAGGTTCTGGCTCCACTACACATATATGTGTGTGTGTGTGTGTATATATGTATACATACACATACATATATACATATATATACCTACACACAGAAACATACACACACATCATTCTAGAAGAAAAGACTAAAATATGGAGACTTGAATTTAAATACAGAGCTCAAAGAATAGCTATTTCTAATTCCCAACACACCCTAAATCTGCCAGTTAAATGTATTTAAGGTTAGTGATTCCCACTCAAATCAAGTTCATTTTGAAAATAATGTAACCCACATTATCAATTTCCCCTACCAACTTAAAATAGGCAAAGGATATTCCTTTTTTATATATACAGAAAAAATTTTATTTAAGTTTATTCTAGTACTCAAAATCTCTAAAATATGTAAGTCAAAATGTGATTACATGTGACATCAAAACACAGCTGAGGCAAACTAACCAAATTTTTATAAAAGAAGAAAACTACCCAAGCTTAAAGCACTAACCTAGGACTTTACCGTCATCAAAATCTAAGTATCATCTCTTTAATAAAAACATTTTTAAGATTTCTTCACTGCCTAGATTGCCTAGTTTTATGCAAGGAAGGGATCATTTACTCTTGAAGATTGTATTTAACAAAAATTTTGTAAATTAAAAAAAAGAAAGAGATTGGGCTGGGCACAGAGGCTCATGCCTATAAGCCTAGCACTTTGGGAGAAGATGTGGGAGGATCACTTTAGCCCATGAGTTGGGAGACCAGCCTGGGCAACATAGTGAGACCCTGTCTCTACAAAATAAAATAAAAGCATTAGCTATGTGTCGTGGCACATGCCTGTAGTCCCAGCTACTCAAGAGGCTAAGGTGAGAAGACTGCTTGAGCCTGGGAGGTTGAGGCTGCAGTGAGCCCCGATCACACATCTGCACTCTAGCCTAGGCAACAGAGTGAGAACCTGACTCAAAATGTAAGATAAAATAAAACAAAAATTGTATTTACCAGAAACTTTCTATTTTACTTAACAATTACCTTTTCTGTAATAGGAAAGAGAAGTAATACTGCACAGACTGGTCTTGGTACCATGCTAAGGAGTTCAGGATCCATTCCATATACGTCGACGAATTGCCAGTTAGGATGCAGACCTAATTGTTTGAGAAACTGGTAAAAGAAAGAAAGAAAAAAAAATAGTGGAACATTAGTTGGTAAAAGAAAACTAGTATACTATATATAGTGTTTAAAGGGAAATGATCAGCAAATAGATACTGTGTATCTAATACATGTAAGGGGATAAAATACAAATGCAACTGATATTCAGTAGGAATGCAGTAAAGCAGCATATATCAAAACATCACAATGTATACCATAAATATGTGCAATTTTTGTCAATTATACTTTAATAAAACTAGGGAGAAAAGAATGTAGTAAAGCAGATTTTCTATGAATAGGGTGAGAAAAGATAGCAATTTATTTATTTAGTTAGTTTTTTGAGATGGAGTCTTGCTCTTTCGCCAGTCTGGAGTGCAGTGGCACAATCTCAGCTCATTGCAACCTTGGTCTCCCTGATTCAAGTGATTCTCCTGCCTCAGCCTCCTGAGTAGCTGGGACTACAGGCGCACGCCACCATGTCTGGCTAATTTTTTGTATTTTAGTAGAGATGAGGTTTCACCACGGCCAGGATGGTCTAGATCTCCTGACCTCATGATCTGCCCGCCTTGGCCTCCCAAAGCGCAAGCATTACAGGCGTGAACCACCGCGCCTGGCCAATAGCAATTTATTTATAGCACATAACAAACATTTAAAATTCATAACATGAAAAACAACCTCTTTTTTCAAACTCCATTTCTTTGGAACTAAATTTAATAAGCCTGGACTTCATCAAATATATACAACTTGGCTTGGTTGATATCTTAAACTCATTTCCAGCACTTGGTTTTTAAGGAGAGGCATTTACATTATAGTAAATAAATATTTTATCAGGAAATCAGCATAGTTTATCCTATTTACCAAAAATGATGTCTGAGGTTTAAAGATCAATTGACAGCTGTGAATTGTATCAATGACCAAAGAGAAATATAAGCCAAAAACGCATCTAATGCATTGTATGGACAACAGAAAATGCTTGATATAGGAAGTAAACTGCTGGCTTCCTGACCTCTACTACATAATGAAACCTACTTAACTTCATTGCCTCTCTTATATCTGGTAAAATAACTATAACAAAAGATTAGTACTTTTTTTTTTTTTTTTTTACAATTCCTAAGATGTCACAGGAAAATAAAATGTCAGACCTTAATCTATCACATACAGAAAAAAATGAGAATGTCATTCTCACAATAAATTAATAACTGTTTATATTGAAGGAAGCTGATTTTTAAAAAAATACATCATTACAAATTAAGTTTTAGATGACAGAAAAAAGGAATAAACAAAAATCACATTAAAAATACATCATTATATCTTACCTCAAGAACACATTATGGTATTTGCTGGTCTAACATCTGAAATTTTAAAACTAAAAACAAACAAAAAGGTGCCATAGTCATTTCTCCCTGAAGAACGATCACATCTACTTAGATCATCAAATAAGGTCTTGTAAAACCAATGTAAGCCATGATGTGTTATAGGAACGGTGTTATTCATCTCTCAAACATTTGAGTTTTGCAAGACAAGGCCTTCCTGTTCAAAGGGCAACTGTCCTTATCCCTTCATTTCTCTGCTTATAGAAGATAACCTACTTGCCAATAATATCATTGGTCAAACATAAGGTTCTAAGTATGTTTAATAAGAAATGTACTGATTTATAAAAACTTTCTTAGAAGAATGTGCTCAGTATAGATCAGCTTCATTCTTGCATCAAGTCACATGCCCTGTAAGAGTCTGGGGCTGAGATCAAAGGACTCCTCGACATTATATCCCTTCTTCATTTGATTCTATTTATAGTCCACTAAAGCACTCTAAACCACTTCCCGCTCCCTTCTCCACTTCCTCCAAACTTCCCAGTCTATGCTTTTTCAGTATTCAATTCTACCTAAAAGCCAAAAAGAATAAAAATTAACTGCAAAGTCAAGGAAAAAAACTGTCTTATTCAATGTTTTTACTCCTATTGCCTAGCACTATACATGGCTGAATCATAGACACCCAAGTTACCTTTCTAGAACTGACTAAAGATTACATCCCTGCTTTAGTGGATAACCTAGCCATCTGTATGTGTATATACATCAGTGAAGCCTGTGTACAATGAAGAAAAGAGGTAGCAAAGATACATTTGGCTCTTAATCTAAAACCTGGCATTCACTTAATCAAATTTGAATACTACCGAAATTTGCCTTTTAAGGAAAAACATCATGAACCCTGATAATAGAACTTAAATTTATTTGTTAATTTTATATACCCCCAAAGTCATCTGTTATAAAGTTATAAAACAAGGTGGTACATACAACAGAGCAATTTAACACATGTGCTGCAAACTAAATGTCACAGATTATTTTAGCGAAAGGTCTGGACAAAATCAGTAAGTACTATAAATCAGTTCACTGCAAATCTACTCCATGTCAGCCAAAGCTAACAAGTACAGAATGTAGTAGGAACCAAAGGCAGCAACTGTAGTAACACCAATTAGTATCAAACTGAGGACACAATGAATGATTAAACTGCAGATAAAATCACAACTTGATTAAATTTTTACAGGAATCATGCTTTTTAACTTTTTACTCATATCAACAATTAAATGAGACAGATATAAAGAAGTTCAATGCAACTAATGTCTATTAAATATATCAGTTACATCCTGACTCCAGATTGCCATAAGTCAGGCTCACCGAAAACTATATGAATACAAATAAAAGCAGTTACAAAGACTGCCTCTGGGAAGTGGAGAAAAGGTAGAGAAGAGGGTCTTCAACTTTTACCTCTCACTTTTTCAAAAAAAAAAAAACACACATTAAAATTCCTACTTTTGCATTAAAAAAAGAAATCTGTGTTTGAAATGATCATATGCAAATACAGAAAGATAGGAAGCAAATTTTCTAAAATGTTAGCAGTTGGCTTGGGTGGTGTGACTCCAGCTTTTTATTTTCTAATATGTTTTAAATTAATTAGTTTTACAATAATTATATGTAGTTGTAAGTTACAAATCTGTAGAACTGATACACATATGTATTCTATTTAAATTTACAAAACTGGGAGAAAGCCCAAAATGATGGTCTTTAAAGTATACCAAAAAAATTTTTCCAGACTACTCACAAAGATAAATATCTATATATGCATTTGCAAAGCCATCCCTAGACACTTAATTAGAAGCATCCCATTGACATCAAGCAGGATCAAAGGTTTCATAATCTCTAACACCAGTCTTCTGGCTTTTCTAACTTACATATTGGGTAATAAATCAACCAAAAAAAACCTCTGACTGATTAACTCAACAAATTTTTACAATGTCTCTAAAATTTTGGTCAATTGAGAAAAATAATTGATAAATTCTAACATTTGGTTGTCAAAAAATCTTTAGTCAATTCTTTTTATTCTATTGTCCAGTGACAAATTTTTCACCAGATCAAGAGTATTTAAAATTACTTGTAAATATGTTTTCAGATCCTTGTATGTAAGGAGCTAGGAGTGATCCACTTTACCTCTACTGCCATGGCAAGGCAGGTTTCATTTTAACCTCTCTTTTTTTTCCAGACAGGGTCTTGCTCCATTGGCCAGGCTGGAGTGCAGTGGCATGATCACAGCTCACTGCAACCTTGAACTCCTGAGGCTAAAGGGGTCGTCCTGCCTCAGCCTCCCAGGTAGCTGAGACTACAGGCATGCATCATCACAGCCAGCTAATTTTTTTTATTTTTAGTAGAGACGTCTCACTATTTTGCTCAAGCTGGTCTCAAACTCCTAAACTCAAGCAATTCTCTGGCCTCAGCCTCTCAAAGTGCTCACTAGGTGTGAACCACTGCACTCAACCCAGGGTATCCTTTTACCAACCAATAAGAAAATGATGTGGAGGAGGTTAAGTGATTTTTCAAGATCACACTGCCAGAACTAGGCTGTGAACACTCTGGCCCCTATTTACTTTTCCAGCTTCATTTCTCTGTCCAGAGTATCTTACTGGTATTTTATTCTCTAACTTTGCCACAGTGAACGCCTGAGAGTTTTCAAAGTGTCAATAACCATCTCTTCCCTCCAGGTTTTTGCACACAAACTAGACTCCTCTGTCTTAAAAAACTGTTCATCAGCCAGGCACAGTGGCTCATACCTGTAATTCCAGCACTTTGGGAGGCTGAGGCGGGTGAATCATCTGAGGTCAGGAGTTCAAGACCAACCTGGCCAACAAGGCGAAACCCTATCTCCACTAAAAATACAAAAATTAGCCAGGCATGGTGGTACGTGCCTGTAATCCCAGCTACCAGGGGGGTTGAGGCAGGAAGATTGCTTGAACGTGGAAGGTGGAGGTTGCAGTAAGCTGAGATCATACCACTGCACTCCAGCCTGGACAACAGAGCAAGACTCCATCTCAAAAAAACCTGCTCATTCCTGTCCCTAAATCATAACAAATTCTTCCTCATTCTTTAGGTGACAAATAACAAAAACTCTGATTTTATATATTTTGTAAAAAATAAATAAAATTCACTTTCCTTTCAAATTTGTTCTTAAAGCCACTTCCTTGGGTCTTTAATGGTCTGCTCAGGGCAGCCAGAGATTCTGCCTTGTTACTAATTTATTAGTGATTTGAATTATGATATAAAATTATACTTACGCAGGAATTGCATGATACTACCACCCTTAACAGTATACTAGTATTAACTGATAAATGCAGAACTAGGAGAATAACTATTAGTTAAATGAGAAAATGGCAGTGTAGAAACTAGCAAAAATAGATTTTAATAGAGACAGAATAAAAAAATTTTTAATGAAATTATTAAAGTATATAATGAGGAAACACTGAAAATATGTTATGTGTAGATTAAGAAAAAATGAGGTTTACTTCACTGCAGGCTCAATATGGACTAACTACAAAATTGTCAACAAAGGTGATATAATGTCAGTCTGCTTTAAAAGGATCATTTAAGTTCATGTTAATAGCCCACTGTACTCGACATGGATTATTCAACAGAAAATATGCTATAGGAGGTATATTTTATGAACGTCAATGATCAAGAAAAGAAGGC